GTTTAAAAAAAAAAAAAAAAAAAAAAAAAAAAGAAAAAAAAAATTAAATAAATAAAAAAAAAAAATATATATATATATGCTGTTGTTATTTTGCTTGCAAAAATAATGAAAATCAAGTATTGCCGTATTAATTAATTCTACTGCTATACCCACTTTTAGAATATTATCTATATGAACAGAAAATTATAGATTAAAGCGTAAAGAAAAAAAATTTATTATGAACAAAGAGAGCATTATTTAATTACTCGTTAATCGACTCAGGGTGCATATTATTTTGTAACGTTGTATACATACACGTAAGCATGTAAGTGTGTATGTACAAAGAATTTAACGAGATCAAGTGTAGTTGGATTCGATTTGGAAAAGTAAGAGATACAAGTAGAAAATAATAATACCGAAATATATTTGTCGTTTTAAGAGCATAATAATTATAATGTAATGTAATGGCTTTATTTTTATTTACTATTCAAAGTGAAAACTTTTAGTCCAACGACCAGCAGCGTTACTTTCCATTGTCACGATTATTTAATGTTGATAAACTTTTATCATTAAATGTTACTTGTAGTGCAAGTGAACAAAATAAAATGTTACGGCTACGGAAGAGAAATAACTTTGATAGCACTTTTGTATATATGTTATAGAAATAGTAATATTACACGCATTAGCTATCGTAACTTTTTTCATATTAATTAACTCTTGTTATTATTTATATAACCATTATTTAATTTGAGTTTATAAAAAAAATAAATAAATAAATAAATCGTAAATAAATAAATAAATCGTAAATAAAATGATACGTCGGTCCAAATTAAAAATTTGCTTATTATGCTTGGCAAGTGCAAGTCAATTGATACGTATATTTTTGAAACTGATGACTTTTATTATTTAATAAAGGACTCTATCATAAGCATTGGTATAGAAATTAAAACATGAATAATTCGATATTGAAATTTATAATCCATCGCTTTTATAATAAAAATTCTTCACAAACTGTAAATTTGATTACAAATGAAGAATTTAATTGTAACTCACAGATAATCTACAAAATAATAGTTACTTTGTTTTTTAATTAAAGAATGTAAATAATATAATAACATTCTTTCCTCGATCGAAGCAATTAATTTGTATTGTCAAATTTAGTTTCTCCCCCCCCCCCTCCCCCCTCTGCCCCTCCCATATTTACGTAATAAAATATAAGTTATTTTTGTTTATATGATAGTCAAATTTATCAGACAAAGTTTAAAAACCATATCCTGTGTTTTTCCCCCCTCTCTCTTTATATATATATATATATATATATACACTATTGCGACGCCGCTGTCAAACTTCTCGTCAACCGATGTACGTGCGGAATTTAATTTTATAAATAAATTGAAAACAGTTTGAATGTCATTATGAAATACGCATCGACATTAAGTAAATCTCGCATGAAAGTAATACTGGCAACTCGGACTAGTGAAATGTTTTATTTAAGGCTTGGCTGTGAATGTCTTGAAAAGCGTTAAAAAAAATTAAACGATATGGAAACAAAACATAAACACCCACCCCATCGCATGTTCTAAGTTTATTAACATTGCTCTGTCAAAATTCATCTGGAGCAGATAAATAATAACGATAATATTAATAATATGTCGCCATTTAAATATATTTATGTTTTTATTTTGTCCTTTTGTTTCTCATGATTTAGAGTAAAGTAAAAGAAAAGCATTTAAATAAATGTCTGTTTCTGTATTTAACACTAACACGCGATAGTTATATTGTAACTATTGAATTACGGTAACATTGTGATATGTAATACACAACAATGCGGTGTTTAATAAAAACTTTACAAAAATATCTGTAATTTTTATATACTGTAATATACCCATCCTTTACGATATTAAATAGCCTTTATTTCAATTTAAAGCATAAAAGTTACATGCCCAGGTCATTGGCATTTTTAAATTAATGCAATAATGTAATTTAATCGTAATCGTAATAATAATTGAATATGTCAAGTCATTATTATTGAATCCTGTGTAAGAAAAAATTCTAATCCGAGAATCCTATTACTATCGTAAACAGCGAAAACAAATAACCCAAGAGAATTAATTCTCTAATTAATAAAAAAATTATGTATTGTATGAATGAAACGTAACGAATGCAAGGTTAAATTAAATTATTACACAATTATATAATTATATAATTGTCTTGTGAAAAATATATGCAAGTGTATTTGTAGTTTTAAAAATTGAATGCAATTCGATAGATTTGCTCGTATAAATCGTATAAATTATTGACACTACAAATAAAGTATCGTTATTTTTAGATTTTTTACAATTTGAGAAAAAATAGATTTATTGTTATTTTACTATAATAAATGCCATATATATATATATATATATATATATATATATATATATATATATATATATATACATTTTTACATTTGAGAAAATGTCGATTGAAAGCTTCATGACATCATTTTATAACTAATACAAATAAGTTATAATATATAGATCTTTTACATTACAAATGCAAATATATTAAGACTGTTTCAATTTTATTTCTTCGAGTTGCTTGGCAAGTTGATTTCTGATATTATCAGTGACAAAGAAAGGTGGACCATGACCAGGTATTATTACATTTGATATATTTGCTACTTTGCAACGCGAAAGTGCTTGTACTTGTCGAAGTTCGGGTACTCCAAGGTTTATCCATATCGAAGAGTCCGTAATATCCTCTTCCTTTTCAAATAAATCCCCTAAAAATATTAAGAAATCAATATGATTTTCGACAATGCAATTGTACCATTAAGTATTATTTACTTACTGTTTAGATTTTTTAAAGCCCTATAATAGCAAAATCAAAATCACGGACACGTATATAACATGCAATAGAATATGCCAAAGCTTTCGTTATTTCTTGTAAATAATTTTAAGGACATGAAAGATTTTAAAATATTAAATACACGAATTTATAATAATTTATTTATCTATTTATTTCATACGTAAGTAATATTTATAGTATAATTATAATAGTATATAATTATATTCGTAAATTATTACTATTTATATTGTAAATTTTAACAAGAATTTAACAGGATAAAAACAAAATAGTGATTCTTCAAAAGAGGATAAATTATAAAAATTGTATCTTATATAATTGTAAAATAATTTGTGAATATTATTAAATTATAAATTTAAATAACATTTTCATTTCAATATTTACAGCATTAAGGACGTTTATTTTAATGCATCTAATACTTATTTGTATTTACCAAATTTTTTCGTATTATATTAAAAATTAGCGATACTAATGACGAAACGGAATTAAAAGAATTTAAGCAGAATAAAATTGTTTGCTTGTAAAGAGTTAATATTTTATTCAAGGCTAAATATTATATAAGCTCAATTCTTTATAATAATCATACATTATGTAAATAGAAATGTAAATATAAATGAAAACCTGTTATCGCAACAATAACTTCTTTTCCATTGAATTTCCCATTCACTATTACAGTCACATCCTCTGCTGTGTGACCTGGAGTTGCCATCACTTTAATTCCATCGCAAAGTTTATAATCACCTATAAAATAAAATAATGGTCAGGACAATTGCTTGTATTGCTCTATTTATGTTTCTAAAGCTTACAATTTTTAATATTTCTTTCATGAAACAAGGTAAGTTTGTGTACTGTAGTTCCAACTATGTGCTCATCAGCATCCAAAAATAAATTATTATTTCCTATATGATCTGCATGACTGTGGGAGCATACAATATAATTTATATTCTCTGGTTGCATATTGTATTTAGTTAAAGCTGGAGGTAGAAATTATCGTTTTTGTAATTATTGTTAACGACAGGGAGTTAAGTGATGTAATTTCAGTAAAGTTTTACACAAAATATTAAAATAAGATTTTTAGATAAAATTCATAATACAGACTTTAAAATATAATCAAACAAAATTACTATCGATTAAATAATTTCAGTGAAAGCCAACGAATTCTTTAATATTACTTTAAACAAAAAATTTAGAACAAAAAAAAAAAATTAATATAAAATTTATATAATAACGAGAAAAGAAAAAAAAAAAGAAAAAAACAAACAAACAAACAAACAAACATACAAACAAACCACGTCATAATTAACAATACTTATCTAATCAAATTACAATAGTTTTCAAAATCATTAATCACTATTCTCCTTAAATAATTACAATTTCATTAATAATTTATGCACGAAAAGTTTAAATTAAATTCGTATTATAAATTTATTTTCAAAAAATTTAACTGTATAACGAATAATCATTATGACGTAATTATATGCTTGAAAAAATGTAAAATACCCTCTATAATGTTCTGTCTATCCCATGCACACATAGTGTCAACAATGACATTTTTATGCGGCGATTTAATTAAAGTACAACTACAATTGGCATCCATTGTCACATCGTCGATTTGAGTCGAATATCCTTCGAATAGCACAATAACTTCGCACATTATGCGTTCCTATTAATAAATAAGTGCTATTGCCAAATAATATTTACAATTATTCAATAAAACAGCTCCTAAAAACACTAATAAAAGCTTACTTTTAATATTTATATTTTGTTCTTGCTGTTACTGCAGTATGAAATAATCGGGTTAGACTAGGTTATAAGTAAGGTAGCTTATGTTTTTAACGATAGCGATTCCACGATATTTTGAACGTACATTTGCACGTGACCACGTAAGCTTACTAACTTGCTAATATTATCTCCATTATATTCATAATTTGAGCAGATTTAGTTGAATGGTAAAAAGCTTTTAAATATTTAATTAATAATTGTGATAAATTTATATTTTTGTGGATAAGTATTTTATAACCAATGTAATATTATAATTTACTGTATCTTTTATTTTACAAAGAATAAAATATTTAATTAGCTAACGAGTATAATAATTGTATTCTTAACTTGACATTCCGGATATTAACCGTTGCTGAATAAATAACAAATTTACGACATTTATTAGATGCGCTTTATTTTATCATAAACATTTTATCCTTAGAAAATGCAGTGTTTATGTAAAATTGGGCCGAGAAAATGACATTAAACAATACATTTTTCATTATATTTTCGATGTAGAATATTAAAGTGACTTGGGCAAATATATATTAGAAGCTCATAATTTAACAACATCCCAATGCCAGTGTTTATTTATTAATTAACCAAAGCAAGAATAATCAAGTAACGAATGATGTCCAAAAAAATTGGCTTATTTGTATTTAAATATAATATATACAATTATATACAAACATAATTGTATGAAATATTAATTCGCTATCAACAATTTTACTATAAACAAAAAAACAAAAATTTTCATAACAATAAATAAAAGGTAAATTAACTATCAAGTTTAATTGTACACTTAAATAATCGAGTATTTACGTTTACTTTCAAAATTCATTTATTTTGAATTAATTTTGAATGAATTTATCATTATTCGAGTTTAATGGAAAAAAAAAAAAAAAAAAAAAAAAAAAAAAAAAAAGTATATACATATATATAAAATTATTATGTACCAATAAATTTATAATTCCATTTATAATTTAAGTGCAAATTCATTTAATATAATGCTTAAATAATATGTGATATTTAATTATATATTAAAATATACTATAGAAATGCTCATCAAAAGTGCCTCATAATAATTCTGATAAATCAATAAGTTTCAAATAAAAATGTTTTACATTCTCATTTCATATTGAAATAAAAATTACAGGCTTACGATCATTTCCAGAAAATATGGTTGGGCATTTGAATTACAAACCTAACCTTACCAGCAATGGTTAAAACTTTCAAACTTCAAATATTATAGAATACACGTACGGATTGTTGTCAAAGATTCAAAATACAAGTAAATACGCCTGAAAAAATGAAAGAAAAACTTTGGATATCTTTAAGCCATTATTGTGTATGAAATTTTAAAAATGAAATTAGTAAGTAACGTTCGCTTTATTTATTTATTTATTTATAATTTACGATTTATTTTTGTACTCTGATCCCTACAATTTGTCACTCTACCTAACCTAATTCTGATTTTATTTTACCGTGACTTGTGATTGTAAAGCACAATATTGTATTTATCGCTTTAATATTGCCAATATTTATTAATTTGACAATAATACTTATGGATGCATATTGAATTTATAATAATGTTTAACCTGAGTTTATGACCAAACTACAAAATAAATTGTTTCAACAATCGCACACGTAATCAGTGATATTCTTAATACTTTAACATTTCTTGTTTCAGTACTGCTTATCGAGTGAGCCGACAAAGCCATGTTTGGTTCTTACATTCAAGGGCATTACCCTGATGCTCGATTGTGGATTAAATATGCAATCGGTGTTAAATTTTATGCCAATGCCAATGGTACCTAGCGTTAAGTTTAATTCGTTACCCAATTGGATACCGCGCGATAATTACCAAGATTGGCAAATCGAAGGGGTATAATAATGACTTGATTTAATTAGAATAAACTTGACACAAGAGGGAATTTTTTTATAATTATGTATCGCAGGGGAAATTTGTAGAATCGATTAGTCTTTAATATAATTTCATGGATAATATTGACATGTAAATTAAATTGCAATTACTTTTTAGGAATTGAAGGAATGCTGCGGTAGAATATTTGTGGATTCGACTCCGGAATTCTGTCCTCCGTTAGAAAAAATAATTGACTTCTCAGAAATAGACGCTATCTTAATATCAAATTATATTTGCATGCTGGCATTGCCATTTATAACCGAGGGCACCGGTTTCAAAGGTATTATTTATGCGACGGAGCCAACGTTGCAGATAGGAAGATTTTTCATGGAAGAGTTAGTAGAGTTCATAGAGCAAGCACCGAGAGACACGATGGCCAAGCATTGGAAGGAAATGCTCCATGTTCTTCCATCGCCTCTGGCAGACTGCCTGAAACCAAAATCTTGGAAGCACATATATTCAATGTCAGCTGTTAATTCGGCACTAGCTAACATTCAGTTAGTTGGGTATGACCAGAAATTGGATATTTACGGTGCACTCACTGTAACTCCAATAAGTTCTGGATATTGTTTAGGAAGCAGCAATTGGCTGATATCTAGCGATCACGAGAAGGTCGCTTACGTTAGTGGCTCATCGACTCTGACGACACATCCGCGACCAATGGAGCAAACAACCTTGAAACATGCCAATTTACTTATACTTACGGGCTTAGCGCAAATGCCAACCGCTAATCCCGACACCATGTTAGGTGAACTTTGTATGACAGTAGGTAAGGCATTTTTAATCATCAGTCTCCTTTCCCGGCGATTCCTTACCCAGACAATTAATTTCTAAATTTATCGAAATATCAAGCGTTTCTGTAAATGGTTGCGTTCATCGTTTCCAAAAACATTATTCACTTACGTTAACTATGAGCGAGGATTTAGACTTTAACATAAAGAAAAACCACGCTGACTGCGATTTAAAAATACCTCTAATTTAATTACATATTTCTTTCTGTTTTTTTTTTTTTTTTTTTTTTTTTTTTTTTTTTTTGTTTTTTTGTTTGTTGTTTACAGCCATGACTTTGCGCTCAGGCGGCTGTGTTTTAATACCTTGCTACCCATCTGGTGTCGTTTACGATCTATTCGAATGTCTTAGTTCTCATTTGGATAAATCAGGCTTCTCTCAAGTACCCTTATTTTTTATATCACCAGTGGCAGAAACGTCATTAGCATACTCAAACATTTTGGCCGAATGGCTATCAACTAATAAGCAGAACAAAGTGTATCTTCCGGAAGAGCCCTTTCCCCATGCCTTTCTCGTGAAAAACGCAAGACTGAAGCATTTTACGTCGACGTACGCCGAAGGTTTTAGCACTGATTACAGGCAACCGTGTGTCGTGTTCTGTGGACATCCGAGTTTAAGATTCGGCGACGCCGTTCATTTTGTACAAATGTGGGGCAATCAACCCCAACACACTATTATATTTACTGGTAAAACAACATTGTACAAATCAATACTTCTTTACAAGGATATTTTTCATTGTTTTCTTTATCTTTTTTTTACATTTTATTTCTTCTTTCTAAATTAATGCTTATAGCGACCACGTGGTTGCTGTGTCGCTAAATCTTTAGCAATCACCTTTTAATGCTTTCAGAACCTGACTTTCCATATCACGAGGCTCTCGCACCTTTTCAACCATTGTCCATGAAAGCTGTACATTGTCCAATCGATACTTCGTTAAATTTTACACAAGCTAACAAATTAATTCGGGACTTGAAGCCAGATAATCTTGTAATACCTGAACGTTACGTTCAAGCCCCAATAACAGCACCACACAGGACTGATCTCGTTATCGAACCAGTCGGGGTAAGGGCTTTTTATTGGAATCAATGCTTATTTTTGATAGATAATTTTATATTTAACCGTCGTGTATCCTTAACTTCCTAAACGGTAATTCTGGGGAGAGATGAAAAAACAAAAAAAAAAAAAAAAAAAAAAAAAAAAAAAAAACAACAACAACAACAAATAAAATAATTTTTAGCTATATTTTATACGATAAGCGTTAATTGTTCAAATAAAAATCGATGCTTTAAAATGGGAGTAAAATTTATCGGTAATTTTGGTTGAGCATCGTAGGTGAAATTTTTAACGTCCTTTAACTACAGCTGAATGGGAAAAATTATAAATGTTGTATTTTGCCGTATAATTAGGAAAAGCCACTAATTACGTTTAAACGAGGAGAAGTTATCAAGTTGCCAATGAAAAGACGAAGAGGACGAGTTTTTATCGAGCCGGAGTTGGCTGAAAATATAATACCAAGTGAAATTAGACCTGGTTTGAGTTTGGCTTCGGTAAGCGGGGAGCTCGAAGTTAAAGATAATGTTTATACGATTAAGGTAATTGTAGTTTTATGTTCGAATGAGCGAAGGATAGAGAGTGTGGATATAAAGGCCTTGATTAAAGGGAATTTTGTTTTAGAATATTCGAGACAAATCAAGCGGAGATAGGAAAAGAAAAGTTTCTGCAAATAATCTGGTGCCAATAAAGGAAGAAATTCTTAAGGAAAGGAGACACGAGTATGGGAATTTGGATCCTCAGGAACTTCTTCAGAAATTGAATCAAGAAGGCATCACTGGTGCAAAATTACAGCACACTCCAACGTCAATTAGTATTCACTTGGTAATGATCAAACAACAAATAATTATTTATATACATTTATAACAAAGGAAAAAAATGTAACATCGTAAATCTGTGTAACGCTTATTTTTATTATTTATTTATTTTTTTTTTTTATAGCAAGATGAAGACACGCTTATTCAAATTGGTGACAATTCAACTCACATATTCTGTAACGGTGACCAAAAATTACGACGACGACTTAGGAATATAATAATGCAGTGCCTGAAACGATTTTAGTTAGAATGATAAATAAGCTAGACAGACAAATAAAGTTTATTATTATTATTATTTTTTTTTTTAATTTTATTTTATTTTATACATGATATATAATCATCGTTTATTGTGTTTCATTTAAATAAACATCATTAAGTTCCTTGTTAATGCGCAAGGTTACGATTACTATAATATACATGCTTTTTGCTTTCGATGCTACATGAAAATACTATTCAACGAGAAAGTCCAAGACATTCTCATTTATTTTTACATTTCTCGGGTGATATACGTAATACCTAGTCTTTTCATTAATTTCTTTCAATTTCAGGATTGCGTCAAATCGATTTAAATTCATAAATATTTATAAATGTTTATAAATTTATGAATAAAGACATAAGTAAATCGATATCGATGACAAGTGCGTGTGAGCCAGCGTAAGTTCTTCGATAATAAGTTCAAATGATAATTATATACAAATGGAATAATAATAAGCCAAAGTGCAAAATAATCTAAAAATAAGCTTGGGAGAAAAACGAAAGTAAAAAAAACCAATAATAATAATGCAACCGAACAATTTTACACGTAATATTTTTAAGAGCAAATAACGTGAAAACCACGTGAGCCGAATGCAAGAATTTTGCAATACAAGCAATACATACACGAATGCAAATCGATACACGAGCTGGGCTGTCGCTACAACACTCAATACAACTTGAACAATCGCCTCACACACAATAATGACCCTCCTTATGATTTACGAAAAACTATTCGAAATTATCTCTCACAGGTTCGGCGTCTTGAATGGAATTTATGATACGGAGTCTCTTCCTTCCAACCTGCCACGCTGCTTTAAGCAGTCGTCAACGTGTTATCTGTCAATACACAAATACAGCGATACTCCATTGACAAATGACAATGGGTGGACGATCGGTTACCGTTCCCTTCTACCCTATCATACAATTAAACGGACTATAACAACGACACGAGTCGGCTATCGTTCCTTTAACGATTATTACGTTTGCTATTATTATACTACAGCAACATCCAGATATGATCGTAAAGATCCCAGGGGCTTAACGTTCGATGTCACGACGATTATTTTACTTAACGCGCGAGGACGAATCGAATGGTCAGCGCCAACATTCGGTGGCTCGACTTGTGCCGTCCACATATACGATTAGCAGCGTTGGAACACCGCAAAAGTGATGGGACAAGCGACGAACGTCGCCATTCCAGGCTTCACAGCTTTAAGTACTCGTATTTTCGTGGTAATCCTGTTTAACGGTCCAAGGTCGCGTGGGCTATTGGTACTACGTCGATGTACCAGGAGTCGCCTTTAGTATTACAACAAGAACGCACGCACGCACGCACGCACGCGCACACACACACACAAACATATATATATATATGTTTATATCAACCGCTACACGTTCTTCGCGATCGACTGTAAGGAGAATCGTACGTCGTTTGTTGGATAGGATTGGAGATTTTTAGTCTAGAAGAACGCGCACGTATCACAATTGTACGTTCATCGAGGAGATTCAAATTGCTAAGGATGCGCGTGTATGGCATTTCGCAGAGAGAGAGAGAGAGAGAGAGAGAGAGAGAGAGAGAGGTTTCAAGAAAATTTCAGATGAAAAGTCTCATCGCAGGAGATTATTTGAATAATAATTAGAACTTATAAGCTGCGCATGAATTACCAATGAACGTGCGTAAGGTTTGGAAAGTTACGAGGTGTTGACATCTAAGGGATTTTATTCTCAAAAGTCACACTGGTTGGACACTGCACTTGGCTGATGAGTGATTTGACAACGGCCTTGACCTTAGCGAATAGTCCCATTAAGTTGACGATGTAGACGACTAGTTGTGCAAGATAGTGAAATTATTCTGCTTTCGTTACGCAATTTCAGTTATAAAGCATTGCAAATTGAATATCGCATGAATTGAAATAAATTAATAAAAAAAAAGGATAGTTGCAATATAGGATGAGTGAGCTTATATAACTGTTTGTGAATTGTTTCTCTAACGGTTTACAATAGCTGATGTGACGTTTATGGTCTAAAAGTACATTTACTACGCTATTCTTGATTTTCTCTCGTTATTCAGCTTATCTTTTGATCGTGCTGCATTTTGAACATGAAAGCCTTACTTCTGTAATTGACTTTTTCAAACTCTACCGGATCACGATTTTACGCTTTTAAAAATCGCAAAGATCGTCAAAGATCAAATATTTGGTTTACTTGAACGCTTATATTATTCTAAATATTCGTACGTACTCGAGTATTTGACATTATCGAATAAATTCTTCTTCTTCTCCTTCTTCTTATCATTATTATTATTATTATTATTATTATTATTATTATTATTATCATTATTATTAATATTTGGTTTTGCCTTCGGTTGTTAGGTGGATTGGTGTGGGTGGGGTAGGGGGTGGGGTAGGGGGGGGGGGGAACGGGGACCGGTAACGGGACCGAGCGAGAGGCTGGAACGGGGCGGGGAAGAGGACAAGAGTATATTAATGTCATAAATTCAGTATTTTCATTATTACTAACGATTCACATTCATCGAGCTTAAAATGTAACGAATGTGGCAGATCGCTTATGAAAATTATCAGCATTTGTTTGAAATGACATAGAAAAACACTGAAATTTAAATGAATTATGCAAATATTGCCGGTTGGACAATCATTCGCAACGTGACAATAATATTTATTTTTTTTTTTTTTTTTTTTTTTTTTTTTTTTTTTGTATGAATATCACTGGCGTAACGCATGCGAGATCGCAATTTAAGGACAGTAGGGGTCGGTAAAGCATTGATCGAGGACAAAGGATTAAAGGACGTAAAGCTGAAAAGCGACGAGTAGAGTCGATAACCGGAGCTCCGGGTGCTCTCGATGCGCTGCGCCCGGAGACTTCGACTCTCGTACGTACGTAAATCCATCCAAGTATGCGAGCACGAGGCCCCAGGAGTTCGGTCGAGTCGGAAAAAGTCAAGCGACAGGTAGATGACGTCGATGGTAGTGGCGGCTTACAGATAATCGCGCACCTGCGCCCGGCACCAGGATCTGAACTCGTAGAACCTCCTGATGGCCTCGTCGACGAGTCCTGTGAGGCTTTTGGCCGCCTCTGGGGACTCGGTGGCGGGGGCGAGGGCGGGGGTGGCGACATCGACGGAGGAGGGCGCCAGCCCCTTGCGCGCGCTCATGATCAAAGCGCAGCACTCGCTTACCTAGTCGGCCGAGGCGAGGCCTATGGCAACCCCCGCAGCGAAAGAGATGAGGAAGAGGGGCGTCTCCCGGGCGCAGAGACCCTTGCACTCGCCGCTCCCGCAGAATCTTTCGTACCAACGACGGGTGCGGTTCTCGCCCTTCTTCAGCGCCTGCTCGGCCTTATCCAGCTTCCTGTCGACGTACCTCTCCACCTGTAAGCACCGCCACGAGGACGGGAGTAAAGTTACCAATGGCCGTCACTTGGCATGCTAAGCGCTTCGCTTACTTTCCCTCCTTCCGATATGCGAGACCCGAGTCAACCTCGGATACTTCCTCGCTTTTCGGCCACGGAATCTCTTAAGCACCTAGTTTCAAGGAACCGCTCGATGACATTGCCCAACGAGCCAACGTAGGCCGACTCTCGTTGCTCTAGCGTGCTTTCGTGCACATTTATTTTTGGCTTTAGAGATTAAGGCTTAACTGGCGGAATGGTCGTACATAGCATAGGAACCGAATAAAATAAATAATTGGCAGTGTCGTTTGATAAGCAACGGATGATTGTGTATAATATTACTGGTTTTGATTTTGGTTTATTTTATAAGCTTCTCACATTAGTAATATCACAATGCTATATATATACACACACACACACACACGCGCGCGCGCGCGCGCGCACATTGACTAATTGTTTTTATTCATTTTGAAAAAATATCCCGAGGAAATGCATGAATGTTTTGAAATGCCTCGTTTGAAATTTAAAAATGACAAGAGAAGACTTTGAATAGAAAGAAGACTCGGAAGATCTGCCATGCGCAGCTTTGTAGATATTTAAGTTAAATATTGGATTTTTTACAATTTTCACTCGAGTATATGTCAATTAATGATACGCGATTTATTCACTTAACGATTTTAAACTTACATTATGTCTAAATTGTAGTGCATTACATTATTGTGTAACGATCGGCTACAGTATTTTCTTATCAAACGACGCTAAGTCTGTCTAGATTTTTTTCTCTATTTTCTTTGCATTTGAAGAATAAAAAAACTTTAAGCACGATAATATTTGGATTAAATTTGTTTATAAACACTAAACTAAGATTATAATACAATATAAGATATAAATTGCAAATTGGGTTTAAAAGTGAAACATAATATTGATTTTAAATCTGTTGTGTTACTTATCTATAAATATAGTTTAATATTGCTTTGTATTTAAATTAAGTTTTATTAAAATTTATATTAATTTTCATGACACATATTTTGAAGTAATGTTTATATATATATATATATATATATATATATATATATATGTGTGTGTGTGTGTGTGTGTGTGTGTGTGTGTGTGTGATGCTGAATAATATTAATTTAATAATTTTTTAAAAAGAATTTTATTATGCTTATTACTACATGAGATATTGTTTTATATTTTACTACTACGTTTCTACGAAATACGATTATAGAAAATTCGTATGTTCGTACGTTAATAGAATGCACTTCGAAGTACTAAATTTTATTATGTACCGATTGAATAATAACACTTTTAATTTGTGTTATACTTTACTGGAATTTAGAATTTAGAGAAAATAAATTACAATCAAGAAATAATACACTTTTTTTTTTTTTTTTTTTTTTTTTTAATAATTAATCTGATCCAATAAAACTTATTCAAATATTAATATTATTTTATTCGTGTTATTTTACATTGGATATTATGAATAGAAATTATTATTGATTTGCACTTCTGTTAGAATAACACTTATGATTAATATTTATTATAATAAAATTATTTCAAATGTTTATTTTTAGATGGAAATCTAATAAAAATGATTTTTAAATTTATTGAATACTGTGTAATTTATAAATCTAATTTTATTACATTTAATGCTTATTATACTAAAATATTCAAAAATTAATTCTTTAAGAATGATTTACATTAAATTATAATTATAGTTGTAATTCAAAGATTGGAGTCAAAAATTTACTTTAAATTTTATGCAACTAATATAAAATAATAGACACATTAAAGTAAATGCTGCAATTAATAATGAGACGTCAATAATTAGCTACGTCTAGCTACTAAACTATGGAAACTTATGAGTAATTATACAAATACTATGCACATCCTATTTTTATTTCATTGTAGAAATCGTGATTTTGACATTTATGAGGCTAGTCCGATTATAAAACCACCCAGAAAACTAGTAGCCAAAATCGTGTTTTCTTGAGAGAATTTCCCTACCTGAAAATTACATAGAATTTTGATTCCAGTAGATAACGAAATTTTTCATTCAAGCCCATTTCACACTAGAGGACCGACTGAGATCAGCGTTAGGTTTTACCAACTATTATTTATGAAATACTTATTCAATTGTTATTTTTTAAAGTTTAAATATTTAATTGTATTTTAGTTTATAGTTTTTAAGAAACATTTTTTTTTTTTTTTTTTTTAATCAATTGAATGAACGTTAAGCAAATGTGACCAACTATTACAAAAATTATTTGTACTTGGATACAGATTTAAGATATTTTATCACATAATGCATACATGCAAAATTGTAAATATAACACAGGCACTAAGATGTAATATGTTATTATTATATTAAGTTTAAGAAAAAAAGGAAAGAAGAGAAAAGAAAATGAAAAAGAAAAGCAAAAGAAAGAACTTATTAGTACTCTCATGACTTTAGAATACTATTTCACAAAATTTGTCAAAGATTTTATGAAATATACGATCGCGTAACTATTACTTTATAAATAGATTCTCTTAATTATAACCAGTTTTTATACAGAAGTAATGGAAGATTAATATAGATACCATATTATAGACTTGTTTATAAAAATTTATAAATAATATTAATTGGAAATTTTTCTTCAAGTACTCCTTGCTCATCTAGCACATTAAAAACATTACGGCTTAAGTGTTAATATATTATTAAACAATTATCTTTAGTATTATATATGTTAATGTTGAACAAATACTCGCATGATTCTCTAGTATAAATAGAGCAAACTTTAAAGTATTATGTTAATAAATAGCTCACCTTGTCCATTAATTTTGGACCCTCGCCAGTTAATTTTTCTTCTACTTTATCAGAAATTTTATCAGCTTTCTTCTGTATCTTATCCCAGTTAATGTTGATATAGCCTTGAGTCGCTGCTATCTGAAGCATTATGATACCACCGCCAATTGCAAAAGCTGCAATTTTTCCTACTTTCATTGTTACAAAGCCAGTGGTCCTACAACCAATGAAATGTAATTGTAACTATAGGTACGTAATAACATTTTTCTTTCTTACAAATCATAATTAATATCTCACCATCCTGATACAGTTCCAATTGCTATTTGTTTGGTCGCAGATGTTTTACTCATATCACCAAGTATTTTGTCTATGATTCCTTTGGCATCTTTGGTAACATCTGACGCTTCTCTATTAGCATCTTCTTTACTTTTTTTGGATATAGGATTATTCATTGTGACTCTATTATAAAAATAGAAATAGAATAATTATTAATTTTAATTCTATAATAATAAAACTTATCGATAGGGAATTATTTATTTTTCTAGTGTTCTAATTTAATATATTCAATTTAAAATTATTAAGGTAATAATTTGAAAAATTTGATGATAAACTTGACATATATATGTATATAATAGTTATAAATATAAATAAATTGATAAAATGATAAAATCGCTTATTCGACTATCGACAAATATATATTTCACAAGATATCATATGACCAGACGAATATTACAAGGATAAATTAAATAAATATTGACAACAATGATTTAAGCATTTTAAGTAAATCAAAATAAATATGAAAAAAATTATAAAAAACCAATCAAAGTAGACAATAAGAATTATACATAAAAATTTTTCTGATATAATTATAACTAATTTTGTGTGTTTATTATTCATAAATCTATAAGAAATTTACATTAATATATGAATATGATATTAATAATGATATTAATGATATTAATGAATTAATGATATTAATCTAGTTATTATCAATTTAGTCAAAATATATTTATATACATAAATCATATTATTAATAATCTCATAAAGATTAATTATACTTAATATTACACTATTTTTCATATAGTGTCATAAATATTTTTCAAATATTTTATTAATCTTTGAATTACAAAATTGATTTTTCCCTATCACATATTAATTTTGACAATTATATTAGAAACAGCATTAAGCTCTCTCGCATAATAATAACGATTGATAATAAAAATGTGGAAATAGATGACTAAACATTAGAGGAATGAAAAGCCATTAAATGATAATTATAATAAATAAAGTATTTATAGGCATATATATATATATATTACAAATACATCATAGAAAAAAAAAATGAAATAATAATTGATTCAATAAGAATAAAAGTAAATAGACAAAATGCGTATCGACATTGTGCATACTCTAGTTATAGTTTAATATGCAAATGAAGAATAATATTAATGAAAAACAGTGGAGAGACAAATAAGCATCTTAAGATAATAGTTTTTTAAATATACAATTATAAGTATCAATTCGTAACCTTTTGTGCAACACTCGAAAGTAGACTAGAAAATATTGATGAGCAAACGTTAAAATATTTCTCAACTTATATATATATATATATATGTGTGTGTGTGCGCGCGTGTGTGCGCGCGTGTGTGTGTGCGCGTGTGCGTGTGCGTGTGCGCGCGCGCGGGCACATGCACGCATACACGGACACCAGGGCACAGTAGATTCTTGGTCATCAACCAAATTTCCAATCCTTATATCCTCCTATATGAGAAAAAAAATTAAAAAAAAAAAATTAAAAAAAAAACTAGCAGGTAGAATACAGTAAAAATGTAAGTCAAAATGTAAAATAATGTAGTCACACGTAAAATACAATACGCCAGTACAAAATAATAATCAAATAGGAGCTACGTTATCGTTTCGTTATCCTTGTCACTAGTAAGTAACGTGTAAATTCTATTTAACACAGTTGTAAGATTTCAAGTCGTATTTACCTATATTACGTACTCTGTAGCCCGAAGCCAATAAGAAAAATTGACTGTACGAGATGGTGTCAAATTCTATAGGAGATGAAAACAATGAAAAATTCTAAACATAAATAATATCCGTACACTTGGCAGTTTATATATTTAGGGGATGAACCTTGAATGGCGACGAAAAATTATCGTTCGGAATCAAGACGTAATTCTCATACGGCACATTTTACGATTTGCATACATAAAAGTTGGTAGCATTGACTCGAGCTTCCACAACTGTCTATGGTTGTTTTTCGCGCATTTACGACTATTCCGTACGAATATATCCGTAATAATTGAGCCGTTGAGTTCATGCCAGAACGTAGGATTTGTCAAATTCAAAATTATTAAAAGGCCGTAAGATTTGTTTTCATCACTTTTCAAGATCCGCAATTGCAATATGTTAAAATAAAACATATATATATGCTCTTATTATATAGGCAAATGAAGGTGACATAAAGTTGTTAAGACTAAATTGTCAGTTAATATATATTGGACGACATGTGGTGTAAGGGAATGTAGTATATGTAATTAATTATGAGTCTATTTATGCGATAACATGAATAAATATTTGAAAAAGACTCGAATAGTTTGTAATTTCAATTTTGAAATTTTACATATACTAAGATATTAAGGTTTATGGCTCAAAGTGTGTATATTGCAATACATTGCGATAAACATACAAAATAATTAAAAGATAAACTAATTTTAAACAAGCGGAAAATTATTGTTTTTCCTTAGCAAATTACTGATAACATTTGTCGCTATTGCTCGTAAGAATATACACAAAGCGCGCGCGCACACGCACACACAGGCGCAACTAATACACGTCTATATATTTTTTATATTTCGAATGGTCTAAATATTGAATAATTTATTTATTTTGTGTTCATCAGTCTATTGGATAATGAGCCAAAAGTTCCTTAACTAAATAAATATCTTTTCTTTCAATTATGTAAAATTTGATTAAAGCGTAACATTTCCACTCAAATTATCTATATTTCGTCGAAATTTTCAATATACAATTCTTGAAATTGTGTAGAAAATTAATAATATAATAAGAAAGCAGAACAATTTCTTCGATTATATATATATATATATATATATATATATATATATATATATATATATATATATATATATATCTATGAGAGATATGAGAGATATATATATATACATCGTTATGATAGATCCGAGGTATACAGGATCTTACTACTACGTGTGCCAAATATCAACATACAAACTAATACCTCGAAATTTTATTTCAACAGATCCCAATAGATGTATCATCCACGATCTCGCCTACCTTCCTACAATCTCATCGAATATCAACAATCCTTCAATCGCTCAACATTTTAGAATTAACCAAGTTGAATAGCAACAAGGTAATTTCACCAAACGCGTGAGCTTTCAATCTGCATATGTACATGCTGACCAACCAGTTGAGGCCGACTCCGCGCCCTCTGTAAATTAACAAAGGACTTTTTTCTTTAAACAACAGAGTATGAAGGATGCAAAATTAATGTGGACATTTCCACGAGCGTTCCATGACAAGAGAATTTTTCAGAAAAGGCAACGAGACCCGTCGCTCCACTCACGATTTAAATTAATCGTCGATAATCGCGTGGCTCGAGTGGCCCCGCTCACGCTCATTAATGGAATATGATAATGTCGCGTCACAGGCACTTTACTTACAATTTCTACGCTGTTCGGTCTTCCCACGAAAACGAACGACAGCAAGGAAAGAACCTCGTGCTAACGACGACTGACCGACAGCTCGACCAACTCACTCCTTCCTCTTCCTCAGCCGTCGAGACTTGATTTGACGAATCTTATTCGCCCGAGAAACGCAATTCCCTTTTGTGCGCAGGATCGCGACTACCAGTCCCAATTATTACGCCAAGGCGGAATTGGAACTGCCGGCGAGCGAGAAAGACGGAACTGGAAAATAACCGACGACGAGAGCAGAGAGTCTGGAATAGCGAGAAGACTCGACCCTCTTAGCTCTACGCTAACTGACACACGGGAGAATCGAGTCCGCTCGACGATACGAAAATGCCAATCGTTCGAATTTGCTTCGAAGTGGGGAAGACAAGGACGACTGCTCGGTCGACTCGTTGCGTTGCGTACAAGGGTCATTAGGGGCAGACGGAACGTCTCGCCATCCTCGTTCCCGACTACGACGATGGCGAGAAACTAACTAATTCTTTCTCAATTTCCTTTCGTCGGCTTGGTCAGGTGTTATAATTGTCTTTGCATCGCCATCAAAGCTGAAAGACGACTATGATTGTTTCTGTCTTACGCGTATCGCGGTCCTTTAGCGAAGCGAAACTTCCCACGCTTCGACAAATAAAATCTGATAGCATAGGAGTGTCATTTTATATTGAATCGGTTATTCGTATACTGCAAGAGATAATTTGACATTATAATTGTGCAAACATACATGTAATTTTTTTAATTTGTGATTTACGAGTGAGATAGCTGCTGGCTCATCGGTGGAGCAGTCCCAATTTTAAATTTAAACTTCGAAGAACGCGTGTCACGCGAATTCTTCTTATTTAATAATAAACCAGATCACTACTATGGATTTGTATTCCATTGGAGAAGTTTTCTTCATTCATTTTTTTTTTTTTTGTTTTTTTTTTTTGTCCTCTTACTGTAAGAGTCGATTGATTATTGGTAAATTGTATGGCCATGGTATATGGTCATATTGGGAAAAAAAAAATAAAAAAAAAAAAAATAATAAAAAAAATTAACATTGTTTAAGCATGCGCACGAACATTATATATAAAGAAGAAAAAACAAATATTTACGTACGATGAACAAATTTCATGCTAATAATGTCGTAAAGCTGCACGAGCAAGCTTATGATGACTATTTATATATAAATAGATTGTAGTTAGTTTAATTTAATTGACGAATGGAAGTATCGAAGGATGAAGTAAGCAGCTTAAAATTGTTGCTACAGTAGTACAAGGAATTAAAATAAGAATTAATTTCCTCGAGATGTCTCATCGCGGCCTGTCTGTCTATTATATTTATTACCAAATTTAAGAGTATATAACTTTATTTTTCTAAAACTGTATAAGCTGCTTGATAATGATATAAAATGCTTATGAATCTCTTCAAAAATTCGATACGATAATTGTCTGAAAAAAGCATTGAAATCTTCTTATTAAATAATTAAATCCCACTTGGTGTGCAAGAAAAATAAGGAAATGTTTTTCAATTTGTTAATAATAAAAGATAAAGCGTTTCGAATAATTGCGCCAACGTTGCGCGACGACATCTGTGGATGGCTACACATTTTTAGGTTATAATTTTCCAAATCCTAACCTCGCCGCTAGGTCCGTCCATTTGGTTCGTGGCCGTGCACAAACACAAACAAACGTGCACTTTACCACCAGCGCAAATTAACGATGCGCGACTTCGCGTTTCCATTCGCGTAAGACAAGTTATTTTCCTGGATGTACATATGTGCGCGCCGCGTATGCGTACATACGCGCTACTTGTCCGCTGTATTTAACCTGAAACGGTCTCGTCGTCGTCGTCGTCGTCGCCGCCGCTGCCGCCGCCGCCGCCGCCGCGCTTTGTGTGCCCTCCGGGTTTTCCGAACATGAGTTGACGTCCGGTGCGTGTTGTGGTTTTCTCCAGGGGCGATTAGTCGCGAGTTTTTCTACAGGGAGCAAGAAATAACAGACACCATGCCGCTCGCTAGTTGAGCACACTAGCGAGATTTTACTACCAGTGCATACACAAATTTCTTTTTATTTTCTCCTTATCTTCTTATCATTTTCTCAACTTTTAATTGAGAGCCAACGCCGAAGGGCGGTGGATAATAGCCGTGGAAATGGCCCAAGAGACGGACGACATCAACCTTACGCCGCAAGAGCTGCAAATACTTTCGGAGCTCGACAGGTGAGCAAAAGTTTTGTTGTCGTTTTTTTCTTTTGTAGCTAGCCTATTGACATCCTTGCCTACATTCTTTTGCCGATTCACTTTTCACATTAACATTATTCGCCACTCTCTAGACAAATGCTTAATGCCTCATATTTTTATAATTCTTTTTACTGATGGTGGTCACTTTTATATAGTAATTATTATCTTGCTTTGGTAGTGAAAAGACTTATCTTTTACAATCATTGACTTAATTGCCCTGGTTTTATCATTTAAAATAAACGTAATAAAATAAATAGATCTTTTTTTTTTATTTGCTTTGTTTTTTTGTTTATTTTGTTTTTCAATAATTTTCAAGAAACATAATATTCTTATGTACTTTATTGTTTTATATACTTTTTTTTTTTTCCTTTTTTTAAACTATGTTACATTTAAACTTACAATTAAAGTTTCTTTCTAAAACGTTGTAATTTAAATTTTTATACCACTTTTTTGTTTTCTTTCTTCCTTTCTCATATTATTCATCTTATATTAGCCAACATTTGTTTTTATAATGTATTAATGTACAATTATAATGTTTTTGTATGGTATGCTGATATTATTAATGTAAAATTTTCAGTCGTCAATTTGGCTTCTTAAAATTAAATTCATCCGAACAAGCCAAAAAGAAAGCCTTAGTGGTACGTGCAATCAAATACTTGGAAAGAATGTTAGTGCAAGCACAATCTGAGAAACAGCGCAGGAAAGCTGATAGTACAAAAACCAATTTGGAAGGTTCCAAAGATGATGACGAAGATGATGACGAAGAGGAAGATAAGGGGATTAGTATTGATCCTAAAACATTTTGTAAATTGGGCCATTTTCATTTATTACTCGAAGATTATAATAAAGGTATGTAAGATTTTGATAGAAAAGTACTGGAAAATTCTAATGAAACATACTATCAACGTAATTTATTTAAAATTCGTTACAGCCATGTCTGCATATCAAAAATTTTATGAATTAAAAGGAGATTATTGGAAGGATGCTTCCTTTCTTTATGGACAGGGTCTTGTCTATTTTCATTTCAACGCATATCAATGGTAAGGAAGAACACTTATTTTTAACGATAAAGTTTAATCAATTCTTTTAAGTCATAGACGTAATTGAAGTATTATTACCTCTAGATAATATAAATATAAAACTCGATCGATATGTAGTTTTACCATCCGTTTGAAATGCCCAACATCTTATAATTGTACACGATTAGTCGATTGCCAACAATTTGTGAACTAAACATTGCTAATAATCATATATATTTCTATAAATTCTTAATTATACATGTATGCCACATATATACTAATTTTAAGTTAAATTTTTCCTTATCCTATATGATAAATATTAGGCTTTATATTCCAAGCTACGGGCATTTAAAAGCGTATCCTCTCATTCTTATTTTTCTTCATTCATCATCATCATCATCATCATCATCATCATCATCATCATCATCATCATCATCGTCATCGTCATTATTATTATTACATTTTAATAATCGTCGATCGAACAACGTAATTGTTGGGACAATTATATGCCAAGATTGTTTATACTAAACTCCCCAAGTTTCGTGTGCTCGAACCTTCTCAGGTCGCATAATAGTATGTAAAGTGTTCGCGGGAGGACAACGAAGACGAAGAGATAAATGATTCAACTTCGACTTCGTACTCTCGAACTTGTTGGAGACGGTGCAGAAGAAGGCAAAGAGGCAAAGCCAGAGCCGGAAAAATGCTGTAATCTCCGGCAGTTCTCGAGTGGTTCACCTTGAAAAGGGGGCGTCGGCCCCTTACAAGTGCGTTCCACGCGAGCAGGGGTTCGTTCTCCTCTTGGCTCCTTTCCTTTTCCGCTCGTTTTACTCCTTTTTGAATTTCCGACCAAGCATTTGTTGGTAAAGTAGCGTTCGCTTGAGCCAAGAATGATTCTTACCGGCCGAGTTTATAGTGTTTGACATTTCAGGTTAGAAAGTCGACTTTCCGCGGCAAATAACAGAGAGCGCGAGAGGATAAATTTTTCCAATGTTTACAAGTGCAAATTATAGTTTTCGTCTTATTGATCACTGACACGACTTGGAATTTAAACTCCGTTTGTCGATCGCGCCCCTTTAATTATTTCCATTATTTCACTAAAAATGGAACCAGTGAATTTATAATTTTATCTTGAAACATTATGAATGTCTGTCGTTTGTCTGTATATTATTTTCGATAGACACGAAAGCGCTTGCTAATGAGGCGAATTATTTTTCAATTTCGTAATCTATATTAAATGCATAAATGCAAATGCTATGATTGAACTTGCGTATGTAAATGCCTGTAATGTTATGGCGCAGTAAAATAATTAGGTTAAAAAAATTTGTCGAGGGTTTATGTAAATTAAATGATTACTTATTTAAATATGTATATGAGCCTGTGTGTGCGCGTACTGACACGTGTATATATAACCCTTTATGATGTAATAGAATCCGAATGAAAATAAATAGACTCAATTATATGTATATGTATATATATGTATATATATATATATGTGTGTGTGTGTGTGTGTGTGCGCGCGCGCGCTCGCGCGCGCGTGTGTGTATTTATAAGAAAAACAGTATACGAATATGAAGATTATATGTTAGTTAATCGAAATTTCTTTTATATCTATTAAGAACAATTATTTCTTGGCGAATGACACAGACATTTTTTTAGGTGAATCATTGAGTCAGAAACACACCGAAGTTCTGCAGAATTATAATATAATATAGTATAAATAATTCTACAATTATCCGCGCAATGGAAGCTTAATTGCCTGGGAAAGATTCAATTATTTGCTTGGTTAAATGTTTCGATTAAATCGATCCGATTAATAATATTTATTTATAAAACAAGCAAGACAATTTCATTGTTATAGACGTCAAGCCTATAAGTAATATAACAAATCCGTCGCTTTAATTGCACATGGAGCATTGATTTTTGTTTCCGTTATTGAAATAATATTAGCGATTTACGTTCTTCAATCATTCACTTTAACGATCGTATTTGGATAAAAAAATAAAACAGAAGTAAAAGGAGAAAAATAGAAGAAAAAAAAAACATACAGCAGAGGTGTACTCTCGTACGAATGTTCATGTAATTTATAATAAATTAATCATTATTTAAGAAAATAGTAGTTACGTAAGAAAGGCTTTCTTCTATCTGAGAATTTAACACCGTCATTTAGAAATTAGGTTAGATTCGTTAAGTCAGATTTCCAAAGTGAGAAAAATTCGTGACTCAAGCCTGCATAATTAAATATATAGTACATGCATCCCGTTGCATATCAGCTGCTTGATTTACAACCTATGAGAAATGGACTTTCTACGCTCAACATTTTCACTCTGCGCGCTCGCGCTCACGCCCAGACGTGCCCGTACACGTGCGCCTCTTTACTTTCCTTTTAAAAATATTTGTCACGAAAAGGAATGTGCAATATACAAAACTATAGTGTCTAATGTCTAAATTATTCGTTTGCCTGAAAATAAAGACGCTTGAAAGGCTTTTCGAGCTATTACTATATTACCCAAGCGGTTGTATAACGCTGCGTGGAATATTTTATCGCCGTCAATGTTTATTCACAGGTGCATGAAGGCGTCGCAAGTATTTCGTAAATAAAGAAATCGCGACTCCGCCATCGTACGAAGTAGCATTTTCTCGCCTCGGTAACCAACGACGCTGAATTTTTTTCGAAAATTCCCTCAGCCAGCGTAACGGTGTAATTAACGACGTGCCGCGACCGAAACGGGCATCCCCGAGATCAGCTTTCCACTACGGCGATTATTGAGTAGCGAGCGACGAGCGAAATAAAGCGATGACATTCCGTTGTAAGGGTGGGACGTCGTCGGTAGATTCGACGACAGCGAGGAAAACATCGGGGAGCTGAGTTGAATAAATGAAACGCCAGGGTGAAAACAGGGACAGAAGAGAATAGGGCGATAAGAGAAGAGCAGGCAGGGACTATCCTGGGCCAAGAGCCACACGAATTAACCTCTGCGAGCGATCAGGCAATTTTCCCGACCGTGACTGAGGCCGCTGTGGGTGGGGCGGGGTGGGGACTGGGAGGCAGGAGCCTTGATACCGGTCTACGTGCCCGACTGCTAGGAGCGCATGGCGGCAGCGGCGGTAGCAGCAATGTTCGTGTCGCGGGAGGTGGAGTGGGGCGAGGTGTTTGTGTTTGTGTGCGTGTGGGGGTGGGGGGGGGGCTGGAGGGAAAGGAGGAGGAAGTATAAGTCGCGGCCGCTGCAGTCGACACGAGCACGTGGAGACGAGTGTTGTCGTCTTAAAACCTCGTGAGCTGGAAGAGCTGTTTTTACTGCCGATTTTACGGGACTTTGATTTTCATTTTTAAGCTTATGAGGCGAGCGAAAGCACTCTACGAGTTTCTTTTTAGGTGTCACTGGCCGTATATACATACGTAGCATTTCATTTAATCCTATGAACTTCGAAGATTATCTTTCTTCTTTTAAAAGAAACTTTGTTGCGAGCTTAATCGCAACTTTTGCGCGACCGCTAATGTTATTCTTCGCGTGCAATGGTATTTGGTACTTTGGTAATCATGCGACTTTGCTTAGTTGAAGCTTACAATCGAGTCTCGGCATCGAGTTTTCGAACTTATTCGTCAAAAGAGTTTGTTTTTTTTTTAATGGATACTGTCGTGTATAATATTTTATCGTAGTTGGCTAAAAAACGATCCATCCCATAGGTGATTGTGATATTGTAAATCGATAATTTCTTCGTTATAACGAAGCAAGAAGAGTCGTTATTAAAGTAATTGCGAATGTAATTTGTCGTTTCGCGTTCGAGCTTTATTCGAAAGGATAAAGTAAAATTTGCCTTAGAGCGTCTTTTTTTCTCGTCTGTTATAATTATTGTAACTACAATGGATGACGATTTGCGCGAACATACGGTGCATCAGCGCCATAATTTCAATTTCACTTTCATTGATCAACGTGAAAAGCTTTTAAAAATACGTTAGTGCGCGGACTGCAGGAACGATGAAATTGGTGAAGCCAACTAGAAGTAAGCTTATTTGAAGTCGAAGAAAATCTCATCCGAGCCTCGGATAATTCCATGTGAAACGGTGAAAATGTGAAAAAGTTTACGCCTCGTTCAATCGCGATTCCGCGACTTTCAAATCGCCAGTGTCTCGGCGACTGCTATGGACCGGGGGTCGATCGATTTTTCGCACTAATAACGCGTGAAGGATCCGTCCAACGAATTTGTCGCGCAACCGTTCCCCCTTTCATGTCGCCCCCCTTCACCCTCCTTCGAAACATCGCAGCCGCCGTTCCCACCCGACGTCTCGGCGGCACTAGTGGCGCAGTGTTTCACCAGCGCCCGGATACAGACAGCGAAAATAAATCCGCGAATCGGGTCATCGGCTTCTGCCGTTTGCGATCGCGAATGACGTTTCCAGGGCTAATGCACGACCAAACCCTTCCATCATTTAATTCGCACTTAACGAGACGGCAGCCTGTTTTTTTTTTTGTATTTAGTTTTTTGTTTTTTGTTTTTTTTTGTTTTGTTTTTTGTTGCACTGCCATGTGTCTTAATTTGCCGTTTGCTTTAGAATTGATTGCCAAGCAATTAGCATGTCTACACAGTGACATTCGTCTAGGCTTTTGCTCAATTACTTTTATTGCGCATTAACGTTTTGCTTTTCGACTAGAGATCGAATTCATGCAGAGTCTATTTCTGTGATAAACAGCGAGATAAGTTGAAATCTTAAAAAAAAAAGATAGATTATTACGGTCGTGAAACGTGACATTACCATGGCAAAAGAGGGAAACTTGCATTATTGAAATGAATTGGAATATTAAAACTGAAAAAATTATTTTTCTCCTTTATCGCACATATTTCTACGCGTTTCTAATGTACAATATTTTTAAATTGCATAGCAGTCATATTATCCAAAAGAGTTGCACATTTCAGAATGCTCAAAATTAATTAATTACAAAATAAAAAAAAAAAATAAAAAAAAAATAATAAAAAAAAAAGAATAAATTGCTCTCATACATACTGCGAATAATAATTGGAAT